TGTCTATGTAAACCTTAACATACTTCCATATGAATTTTTTAAATCTTACCATAAAGAAATACTCTAATGCCAAGAGTGGAAGACTAACTTAAAATATCATTTAGTTATTTACATTTAATTAAGGTTGGAGAATGAACTACAGTAACTGACTTTAGTTTTTCAAAGCCTGTAAGTGGGAAGAAAAACAGTTTATAGTAGTACCCTTTTTCTGTATTGTTGATTAAGTAACATGCCCCAAGAAGACTTAAGGAACAGTAAGAAGTCCCTGTTTTTTAAATTTTTTGTTTGTTTGTTTGTTTAGGCTGTGCCACTATGAAAAGTCCAGAAGTCTCCCAAGTCCCAGAAAATTGACCAAATTTGGGGTCACCTGAATCCTTGTAATTTAATCCCAATTCTGTTACAAAATAGATAGGTTTTTTCACTTTCTTATTCACTGGGACTTCGGTAAACATTGATAATTATTTGTATAAATGCTCATTCACTAATTTCCATTTTTAATTCTTTTTGTATGTCTTTGACAAAACTAAAAGCATCCTTGGATCTAGGATAATTTTTCCTTCATTTCAGAAAGGAAAATGAAGAATAGAGAGGGTTAAACAACATTAGCAGTATCTTTTGGTGGTGTTTTTGCATTGTACATTTCCAAATGTCATAGAAATCCTATCTCTTTGTTGCTTTATTATATTGCCTGGTAAGGAAGTTTAAGTTAAAACCAAAAGTATCCTAACATATATCTAATGTATATATGACTGCTAATATGGATAGAAGAAAAAAATTGAACTATATGTTACATGAATTGAACTTTTGAATCCTGATAAGCCCTGGAAGAGTATGGAACTTTTCTACATAAAAAATCTAGACCACTGAAACTACCAGCTATGCTTCAGAATTATATGAAATACAGAATACCTATGTATATACACATACATACACATATGTATATACACACATATGTGTATACATAGGTATTCTGTATTTCATATATATATGGCTAGAAAACCTTCACCACCTGAAATATGCCTTATTTTTTTAAGTTATTCAGGTAAATTCAATGGAATTTAATAGACCACAAAAATGGGTTATTAGTAATTTACTGAATAAGTGTAATTATATTTGACAACTGGTGGTGATGAAATATAAAGAAAGGTAGGGAGGGGGGAAAAAGAGGTATTCTTATATAATGTAAGGTAAATTTGAAAATCGTAAGCCAAAGAGCTACTTGAAATAATTTTGTAACTTAAAATTCATTATCTATATCTTAAATATTCTGGGGGATGTAGGGGTTACTGAGGGAAAAGAAAGACGGGAGATGGCAAAACTGACACTGGGGAGAAACCCCATGTTTGAGATCCATTATAATGAAGGCCCCTTACTCTCTGCCTCCTAAGAAAACAAAAATTTTCACAAAAAGTAGCCAGAACATGTTCACGTGGAAGCAACTGTGGGTTCTGGTGGACAATGAGTGTTTAAAACTCTGCCCTGGAAACTGATTTAATAATATGTTGGTTAGAACACTGAAAAGAAAGTAAAACCTCACTATAGGTTGAGCATCCCAGAAATGCTCCAAAATCCAAAACCTTTTGAGTGCTGACATGACACTCGAAGGAAATGCTCACTGGAGCATTTTGAACTCTAGTTGAGATGCTGAACCAGTATACTGTAAATGTTGCAAAATCTGAAAGAAAAAAAAAATCCCGAATCCAGAACTTAACTCATACTCGGTTGTCTGCTTTTTTCTCCAACAAAGACAATTTGTATAGCACTTATAACATTTTTATAAGCATTATTTCATTAGAGTAACCTATACCCATTTTAAGCCTAGGGAAATAATGTAACTGTGAGACAATAGCTGATAGTCACACCAGTGGGTGAAAATTTTGTAAACACCAATGGAGATGGGTAACTCTAAATTTGTATCCACAGCGTCACTAAAAGTGATGCTTAACACAAATGTTGAAAACTACTAGTGTGAGATGACATAGCTCTTTGTATCTTTCAAAGCTTTTTTTGGTGATCTGATCCATACAAAAGCCACAGGCAGGAAGCTATACCCTGGAGATGCAGTTTATTAAAGGTGAGGATTCCATGCAAAACAGTATTTCCAACTATATGATTTGTTTTAAAATTAATCACATGTGGGCCGGATGCAGTGGCTCATGCCTGTAATCCCAGCACTTTGGGAGGCCGAGGTGGGTGGATCACTGAATCTCCAGAGTTCAAGACCAGCCTGGCCAACATGGTGAAACCCTGTCTGTATTTAAAAATGCAAAAACTAGCCAGGCGTGGTGGCAAGCTCCTGTATTCCCAGCTACTCAGGAGACTGAGGCAGGAAGAACTGCTTGAACCCAGGAGGTGGAAGTTGCAGTGAGCTGAGATCACGCCATTGCACTCCAGCCTGGGCTACACAGCGAGACTGTCTGGGTTTGGGGCAATTAATCACACGTGATTTGTTACACCTACATAAGGGGGTAGACAACTAACTACACTTCGGAAAAGTCTTAAGGCAAAAACTACATTTAGTTTGTAAAAGTGATATAACAGAACTCAGTTGCATAGAAACTTCATACTGTGATTAGTTTTTAAAACAAACAAATCAAGAGCTCTCTAAATTGCTGGCCCAACATTTATTTTGTTATGGATATTTCTAAATCTGAAAACAGGAAATGAACTGATAAAATAATCAGAAGCATACATACACACTTACACATTTATAGGTTTAATGTTCATCCAAAATGCTTGGCAATAGAACTCTTGGATTTTTTGAATTTCTAATTTCTGAATATTTATATTTACTGGTTGAGCAACCCAAATGTGAAAATCCAAAATCCCAGACACCTCAATGAGTATTTCCTTTGAGGGTCATGTTAGCCCTTCAAAGTTTTGGATTTTGGAGCATTTCCAACTGTGGATACTGAATCTGTGTGTGTACATGTGGGCGCGTCTATGTGTGCATCAAAGTCATTTGTAGGCACAGAGCTCCCTTCTCTTCCTTAATTTTCAGAAAATGAGCCAGCCAGTGATACCAGTGAATCTGAGGAAGAAAGCAGACATGTAAAGACAGAGATTGTAAGAGTAACAATTAGAGTTACACAAGAACAACAAGAAATGCTAGCTCTTACAGTCAAGGCCACCTGGAACATGTATTTGTATAGTAAAATAAGTAAAATCTAGAGTCAATCTCCTTTTGAAAGATGAGCTAATTAAGTTGGACAAGAAACAAATCAGTCTATTTTTGACTAAATTTAAGAATATTCTCTCTTTAGCATACATGTTATTCATGGTTTTTATTTGCTATGTTTTATGATGCTGTGACATCTTAAAATGGTTGCTAATCAGAGGAGCCACCCTATTCAGGGCTCTTTCAAATATATACCAACCCATCCCAAGTCTATAGCCCCAACCACCCTCCTTTTCTAATTCTTGAACACCAAGCCACTGTTTCTCATCCTAGAAAATCACATACCATCCATCTACCCAAATGCCCACCAGTATTATACAAACTAGCCAATCTTAAACCATTTACCCCACCTGGCCTTTCCTGCAGAAACCTCAATGAAGGATCTAACTAGTCTTGCCCCTTATCCCTGTCATATGCCACCTGACTACAATCTAGTGCTTTCCCCATGACTGTATGCAGGGGTCCCCAAACTTTTTACACAGGGGGTCAGTTCACTGTCCCTCAGACCGTTGGAGGGCCAGACTATGCATGGTGTGACACCCTTCACAGCCAGCGCTGCTGCCTCCACTATCCCAGACAGCGGTATACAGTGTCACAGGCCCAGCACCGCCTCCAGTGCTGCACACAGGGATGGCGGTGATCAGCCTGTGACACTGTGTATACAGCGTCCTGGACATCTGCAGCAGCGGTGGGCCTCTTCTGTGGGAAGCCCACTGCTGCATGTTTTCCCTATTATAAGACACCTCCTAAAAATAAGACAGCCCCCGTCTTTTGGGGGTAAAATTAATATAAGACAGGGTCTTATAATAGGGAAAACACGGTGTGTAGTAACGTGGGGGGAGACTTTTGGGCAAAGGGAGGTTATAGGGGCCATTATGTTGTTGCACATTTGGGGGAGTATGGGGGCCACTGTACTATGTAGTAATGGTTATTGCCTTTCTTCCTACTTCTGCTGTTATTTCACACTGCTTCCGGTGGTGTGGGGCGCTGCAGCCGCAGACCGGATGTGCGTCATATGACGTGCTTCCGGAGCCCTGACGCGTGTATCCCTCATCACCGGAATTAGTACTGTATGTGAGTGACGCCGCGCTTGGCGGCCACCAATGAAAGAGGTGCCCCTTCCTGAAGTGCGGTGGGGGCCGGATAAATGGCCTCAGGGGGCCGCAGTCTGCGGACCCCTGCTGTATGTAACATGTAGTCTTTTTTCTTTTTCTTTGAGACAGTCTCGCTCTATCACTCAGGCTGCAGTGCAGTGGTGCAATCTTGACTCACTGCAACCTCTGCCTCCTGGGTTCAAGCGATTCTCCTGCCTCAGCCTCCTGAGTGGCTGGGATTACAGGCGTGTTCCACCACACCCAGCTAATTTTTGTATTTTTTATTAGAGACGGGGTTTTGCCATGTTGGCCAGGCTGATCTTTAACTCCTGACCTGAGGTGATCCACCTGCCTCAGCCTCCCAAAGTGCTGGGATTACAGGCGTGAGCCACCGCACTGGTGGTAACCCACTCTCTAAGGCCTGTTAAGTATAATAAACATATTTCTTTCAAGTTTATTCTTCCTTTGGCCAGTGACTTCTATCATACCATTATTCAACATATATATTCTTAGAACAGTATATAAAATATCCATGATTGAGAATAGAGCAACTGTTCATTGTAAAAACAAAAAATCTCAAGTTACATCAGCTTTCCGGCTGATACATCATTTTTCATGTTCTGTCTTTTTTGTTTTGTTTTACATTTAAAACTGTCAAGCTGCAATTGTGGAATAAATTCTAAAACATAAATGAGTATGTGAATTATAAAAGAAAATACAATTCAGGGTTGTATACAGGATATATATTTATTAACAGTGAAAAAGCATTTACCCAAAGTGAATGTTATAAAATACAAAGAGTACCTCCACAGTCTGGCCAGATCACTAGTTTAGGCATTATCTCAATCTGCATAACGTTTTCTCTCACTCATTTTGACTTTTTCTCCCTCTATCTCTAACCAAAATTTTTAATTTCAAAATTAGAATAGAAATATTTAATGCCTAATCCTTCAGCAATAGTTCCTAGAGAAAACAGATTAAATAAATATATCTGCTCTCAAACCCTATGTATTTTAAAACTAAATTATCTACTAAAATAGAAAAAAACAGTCGACTTAGATAATAGCAGCTATAACACAAGTCAAATAAGCAATTTTGATAAGGTTTTTAAGTACTATAGTAATAACGAAGATATAAATACAATTTCTAGTTTACCTTTAAGATGCATGCAGAGAGAGAGACAGCCACAGTATGTAAGGCTTGGCTTGAGTACCATAACAAAGTTTTTAGCCTTTCTGCTTAAACTCTAGAAGATACAGAATTTGACTATTCCAATTTACCTGAAGTTAGACCACTTGGTAAGAATTCCTAATTCTCAATTGGTAATTTTCTGAATAGGTTTTATTCAAGTTTATATATTGTCTTCCATAATATAAGTAGCAGTACAGTAAATATCCTTGTAGGGAAATCCTCATTTAATACTCCTTGATTGGACTTTATACTGAGGTATACAGCAAGTAACAGTTTTAAAGGAATACTCAACAAGTTCTTTTTTTATGGGGTATTTCAGTTGTTAACAAAGTTAAAATACTTATTGGAACAAATTCATATTTAAGGAAGAATCTGTAAGGTTGACTTACTCATTGTTAACTGGCTTTTTAAAGCCTTACTGGGTATATGGACAATTTGGGATAAAAAGTAAATCATCTTTCAAAAGCTGATTTACTTAAAGTCATAGAAATTTTCAGTACTTTATGTGGAAATCTGCTTCTCCCTCACTTCACAAAAAAGCAGCTACTATGCTTTGGTCTTAAATTACCATCTCAAAAGGCAAGTTTATCTGAAGGCATATAGATTCTTTCTATTATATAAATTTTGTTCTATTTATCACCACTTTAAAAAGTTAAGTTTTTCATTTAAAAACCACAATGTTACTTCTCTGTGCAGAGATCTCTCAATTACATAAAGCTTATTTTTTTTTACTTTCAGACAGAGGTAAATCCTTTCAGACAGGATAAATCCTAACAGATAATGATGTAGTAAGTTTTAGATACTGAGAACCTATGTTCTAAACTTACTATCCAATTTCAATGGATTAATATATATTCTATAATAACTTTGTAAGTATCTGCCCTATTCTTGCACAGGAATAGGACTTGCAGTTACCTAAAAGAACATCAGACCCAACAGCAGCAGCACTGGCACTGTTTGGAAGACTGGCCTAATGGATGGGCTTTATAATAAATAATGCATTTCTCTAACTCTTAACCATTGCTCTTCCCTGAGCAGCCTTAAGTTATATAAAACATTGACTTGCTGTATAGAATTCAACATAATTTCCAAAAAAGATACTTTATAGATAAGTCCCAACTTTATTTAAAACTACAGTTTTAAATTTGTTACCAAATGTCACAATGGGGAAGAAAAGACCCCCCTCCCCTCCAAAGAAAATCCACAGTATATCAAGGCTTAAATTTGTCCAGAATTGAGTTACTGATGTTTTTAATAACCATGGGCAAAAATTACCACACCTATCAAAAATGCAGTGTCAAACTAATTTACATTTTTATACAGATCAAAACAGATGTTTATTTAGTATTGTTTTCATATATGCACTGACTATTTAGAGAGATGAGCCTCTGAAGACATCTCATATACTCTGGGCTCCCACCGTTTCTGAAAAACAGAATAATAATTAATGCTTTATAAATTACTTATTGAATTACTAGAATTTAACATTGTTCTCTGCCATTAAAGCTTTTACTTTTAATATAAGGTTATTATGAAGGAAATCCTAATTTAACTTGCTAATACAATCCCCTAAGAGCACGCAGTGAAAAAGAGTAGGTGAGGTTCCTGATTCAATATGGCAGATTGAGCAGCTACTTCCTATCTCTCTAAAAACACCCCACTAGGAAAAAAAAAAGAAAAGAAAAGAACTATAGAATAGAATAAATCTAGATCAACAAAAGAAGACTGGTTGTGAGGAAACAGAATAGAGACTATGAACAAATGACCAGAATGCTTAAAGCAGATGGAAGCATACCCAAAGAGAGTGGAGGAAGCTGCAGCTCAAATACTTACAACAGGATGCAGCTGAGATGGGTACCATAGTCTAACAGGTAGAAATGGGCTGAAAACTGAGAAATTAACTGAAGGTTTGTTATGTGAATGCTCCATCCTTATCCTCACTCCATTTCCAGGAAAAACAAACACAATAAAATATCACATGATTTTCATCAACTGATGAACTGATGGAGAGTAACAAAAAGAAATTGACCCTGATACAAGAAACACTGGCTCAAGAGCTGTGCTATTAGACTCCTACAGAAAGAAATCTGAGACTATTGCTTGGCTCCACAAAGAATGATATTTACAAAGAAACATCCTCAGAGAAAGTGTAGAACATTAAATTATATAAGTGTATTTACTTTAATAACTTTAGTAATGTAAGAATATGGGCAAAACTGAACAGAGAACCTAGAAGAAAGCAGAGGAGCAGCAGCAGAGGAATAATGACCAAACTTGATGGAACAAGAAAATGCACATATACTTAACCAAAATACAAAGTAAAAAGTAGAACAACTAAAAATGATCTGAACACTGAGAGAAAAAGGAGAGGTAAGCGTAGATACACACTTGCCATCAGGTAGACAAGAGGTATTATCTGTATCTTAAACATTAAGAATCATAAAATATAATATTTAGAGTTACAGTCTCCTAAAGACCTAAAAATCAGTACCAAAAAGTGAGTTTTTGCTATTTATAGTATTTTTGTACCTTTCTCAAACCATGTGCATGTATATATGTTAAAACTAAAGATTTTAAGAATAGAAAAAATCCGACAATACTGTTTCATAAACAGCTGAACTAAAATGTATATAGAATTATGCTATCTCTCCAGTATTTGGCTTAAATCTCCCAGGAAATAGTGGCATATTTAAAAAATAAAACACAATAGCAGTATAAAGACAATGATTTTCAATATAGTAATTTAAACTGGTAACTCTTACCGGGTTCTTTTAGTGTCTGAGAATTTCCAGCTAATTCTTCAGTATGCATTTCACATATTTCACCAGATAAGTGGTTTTTCTGTTCTTCTTCTACCATTTTCTTCCTGAGATCTGCCTTTGGAATGAAAATTGAAAATACCAATCATTCTTCATGTTGACAATATTTGTTATATAAAGACAAGTTTAATTAAAGACAGCCAAATACCTCTGAATATATTGTCAGTTTCAGTGGTAAATCTTCAACTTTCACAAAATCTTCTTCATCAGACTTTTGACTTATATTACCAGATTCTGCTTCCTGTAAGATAAATTTAAAGAAAAAAAATATACTCTAGATCTAAACCAAAGTCATCCATGTGAAGAAAAAAAATGAATTATCAGTAATTCTATCATATTTGGTTTTCTTCTATATTTAGCTCTGTGAATAATTCAGAAATACGGAGTTCACAGGAAAAGCTACACATCACATCTGTGTACATACTGTCAAGCTTTCTGTTACCATTTTGTCAGTTTAAAAAAAAAAAAAAAAAAGCCGGGCGCGGTGGCTCAAGCCTGTAATCCCAGCACTTTGGGAGGCTGAGGCGGGTGGATCACGAGGTCGAGAGATCGAGACCATCCTGGTCAACATGGTGAAACCCCGTCTCTACTAAAGATACAAAAAATTAGCTGGGCATGGTGGCACGTGCCTGTAATCCCAGCTACTCAGGAGGCTGAGGCAGGAGAATTGCCTGAGCCCAGGAGGCGGAGGTTGGGGTGAGCCGAGATCGCGCCATTGCACTCCAGCCTGGGTAACAAGAGCGAAACTCCGTCTCAAAAAAAAAAAAAAAAAAAAAAAGGCAGGCCAGTTTATACATGCTGAAGAAATAGTACTTACAGCACCAAGACTAAAAACGTTAGGAAGACAACTCGTTTCTTATGTTTACTGAACACATGAGAGCTGTATCCAGCAGAATGTAAGTAACCATTTACAAATTTTTCCATTTAACAACTCTGATGAGGCTCAATTAGAAAACTGTCATGAATTTAGTAACTCTCTTTTATGATCACCTCAAACTGTGTTTTTCCTGAACTTTTTCCTCCTATTGTTTATCCAAGTAGAAGTCTTAGGTTTTTCTTCTTGCAGTATTTCTCACTCACCCTACGTTTGTTCACCTCATATTTCATACTTAGAGTAGGAGCCTTGTATCTTGACAATATATCCTATAGTCATCAGATTAATCTTCACAGCCCATAACTTTGACCATTTCACTTCCTTACACAAAAACATTCAGTAGGATCCCGGACTAAAATTTAAATTCAAGAGCTTTTATAATCTACTTTTGACTGAATTTCAATGAAATGTCTTTTATGGCAACTCTACAAAATCGTCAGATGATAATAAGAATAAACCTAACAGGTAATTTTCAGAGTTTTAAATGTGTAATTTTACTGGTAGTGAGGCAAACAAAACAGTTAAAAGTTACTCTTTCTACTAATGTTTCTGAAAGATTTTAAGTCCCCTTTCTGGGAAATTATAAAATCATAACTATAAAGACATATTTAAGAACAAAATGTTTTTTTTTTTTTTTTTTGGTAAGATACATGGCTTCACTCTGTTGCCCAGACTGGAATGCAGTGGGGGCAATCACAGTTTACCACAGCCTAGAACTGCTGGGCTCAAGCGACCTTCCTGCCTCAGCCTCCTGAGTAGCTAGGACCTCAGGCATGCACAATCACACCTGGCTAATTTTTAATTTTTTTGTAGAGACAGGATTTCACTATGTTGCCCAGGCTGGTCTCACACTCCCTTTAGTTCTATCCAACAAAAGCACTGACTGGAAATGACTTGGGTTAAGTTTTACTTACGTTTGCAATTTAAGAAAGATCAAGCCTACTTTAAAGGCCTTTGTTTTATGTGGGGTTTTTCTGCTCAGGTATTTTTCAGGCCTAGTGTCCATTTTATTTTTGCTTTAACAATTCCCCTCTTTTGGCTGCCCTCTCAGCTTGGGGATGGCCAGGTGGCACAGCATTACTCCCACTACTGACATAGATATTGGGATGAAAAGTCAGGTAAAGTTATCATTGAAAGGTATGTTGGGGTTCAGTCCTGCAGCCTCCATCAACAATTACGTAGTCAGTGTGTTTTCCTGATGGCAATCATCTGATAAATGAGTGGCTGCTGGAAAGCATTTAAACCCCTGGGGAAGATGTAACACACAAGGGAAGAAAACACAGAAACTGTAGCAAGAACTCAAAGATCCCTCTAGGCAAAGATTCCCAGGAGCCAAAATTTAACCAACTGAATAACTCAAAGGAGGAGGCCTTGCTTACCTGATGAAAAATTTGGATTTGTTAAGATATTTTAAATTTTGGTCAACAGTACCTGATTGTGAATATAAAAACAATACTTTTCACCAATCAGGGCAGAAGCTCCTTCCTGTGAGCAGCTTTCTACTGGAGTTCCACTGAGGCCGAATTACTCATCTCAGATTGTATTGCTTGAAGAGTATCTAAAGTATCATTAAAACCTTTTTTTCAAGGGTTGCTGAAATATTCATAGGCGATTTTCCCAATTCAGAGACTGCCAGCTAAAGAAAAAGGGATCTTAAAAAAACAAAATCTAGAACCTCTTCTAGTTCTTTTGTAAGGGATCACTTTATGAACAAACCACCTCAGGTTAAGAATTTCACTACCATTTAAAGAGTCATACTTGCTCATTTTAGGTAGGAAATAGCCCAAACCACAGTGTCCAGACCATATAGATGAAAATATTTATGTATTTTGTTGCTATACAAGATGAATAACACAGCATTACTGAAGGGGCAAAGGAGATCCTATTACCCACCAGTTGGGAATGATGTGACTGTCATGGTTATTCTTTGTCACATCTGCTATCTGCACATTGCCAGGTAGAATGGTTATGATTTAAATAGGAAGAGGGATAAAATAGATTTCTATGTATTATTTTTGGCTACCATCACCAAATAAGGATTTCTGGTTTCCTTTTCAAATATGCCCTAAAAATTGATCTTATAACTTCTTCCCAGTGCAAAGTTAGTCAATCATAAATATCAACCAACTTGCTAAGGGAAGGATACCAAACCTTTTCATAAAACCAGTTTCCTGAATTGCTCACCCATGTGTGTATAGGAGCAGATTACAGTATTAGCTGTGATTCCATTAATCTAGATGACTACATGGCCAGCAATTGATTTGGTGAGAGTGGCTATGATTTGAATATCAGACCTTAGAGGATGTTTGGTTCGAGTAGTAAAAGTTCTAACAAAAGTTTTAACATTTTGTGTTAATGCAAAACAAAAACAAATCTTAATGAAAAAAGTTAAATGGAGTTTTGTTCCATTGTTGTTGGGGAGTTGTTTACTTCACGATGCCACCTGCACGTAGGGAAGGCTTTCCCTTAAATGTCTTTAATTTTAAGTCATCTATAGGTTGCCAATTCCAAAAGTCTAAGAAAGCTCTCTCTACTTGCGAAACATGGACTCAAAGCTCAAAACCCTAAAGTTTTGCTGCAGTGTGAGTAGTGGGAAGCATCTGGTATAGTCTTTTCCAATGAGGCTCAAAGGCAATTTTTCTCTGCTGTTGTTTCCAAAAGATCCAATCTCCAGGTTCTAAGTCATGGAAGGCAGTCATGGATCATCACTGGTAGGCAGTTCACAAAAAGCCTCCTTCACCTGGTAGAAATATACTTTTGTGTAATCCATTAAGGCCTTGCAGTGTTGTCATTTTAGCACTAACAAATACAGGTGATACATGGCTTGGAATAATGTATTTGGATTTTTATAGGTTCACCGCTTTTCATCTTCCCTTCGTTAGTTGAAAAAAATACATAAACATCTGGGTGCTTCAGAAAGGTCTGGGTTGGTGTAAGGGTGAGTTTCAATATTATCAATTCAATTCCTGCTTGTAGGGAACAGAACAGTTCAAGTGTAGAACAGTTCAAGTGTAGAAGGGTCAGGAAGCTCTAAAATTAACTTTCCTTCCCAAGAGAACTTTATGTGCCCTCTCAATTTCGACAGCAAATCTTGTCCCAATGTGTTTAATTACTGAAACAGTGTCACTTTGTAGGAAAGCATGCTTTTCTGGAACTGGTCCAAGTGTCATCTGGACTAGTTCACATGATATTCTCTGAACTTGATGTGAAACCTGAAACATTTTCTTTCCTCAAAGAAATTTGCTGTAGGATGGGATTGAAAGTGGAGATGGTGGCTTTGGTATCCACCAACACTGTACATGACTCCCACTGATGCTGACCTCCATTTTCCCATGTTTAAGGGCCATACGAAGAGTAACGTACCAGAGGATCCCTTGTCCCATTGGTGTTGACTGAGTTGAACCCTTGGAACTTTTTTTTTTAATTGCATTTTAGGTTTGGGGGGTCCATGTGAAGAACATGCAAGATTGTTGCATAGGTACACACATGGCAATGTGGTTTGCTGCCTTCCTTCCCCTCACCTGTATCTGTCATATCTCCCTATGCCATCTCTTCCCACCTCCCCACCCCCCGTCCCTCCCTCATTTCCCTACAACGGACCCCAGTGTGTAACGCTCCCCTCCCTGTGTCCATGTGTTCTCATTGTTCAACACCCGCCTATGAGTGAGAACATGCGGTGTTTGATTTTCTGCTCTTGTGTCAGTTTGCTGAGAATGATGGTTTCCAGGTTCATCCATGTCCCTACAAAGGACGCGAACTCATTGTTTTTGATGGCTGCGTAATATTCCATGGTGTATACGTACCACATTTCCCCTGTCCAGTCTATCGTCGATGGGCATTTGGATTGGTTCCAGGTCTTTGCTGTTGTAAACTGTACTGCAGTGAACATTTGTGTCCATGTGTCCTTATAGTAGAATGATTTATAATCCTTTGGATATATACCCAGTAATGGGATTGCTGGGTCAAATGGGATTTCTATTTTTAGGTCATTGATGAATCGCCACACTGTCTTCCACAATGGTTGTATTAATTTACACTCCCACCAACAGTGTAAAAGTGTTCCTATTTCTCCACATCCTCTCCAGCATCTGTTGTCTCCAAATTTTTTAATGATCGCCATTCTAACTGGTGTGAGATGGTATCTCAATGTGGTTTTGATTTGCATTTCTCTAATGACCAGTGATGAGCATTTTTTCATGTTTGTAGGCCTCCTGTATGTCTTCTTTTGTAAAGTGTCCGTTCATATCCTTCGCCCATTTTTGAATGGGCTTGTTTGTTTTTTTCTTGTAGATCTGTTTTAGTTCTTTGTAAATTCTGGATATCAGCCCTTTGTCAGATGGGTAGACTGCAAAAATTTTTTTCCCATTCTGTTGGTTGCCGATTCACTCTACTGACTGTTTCTTTTGCCGTGCAGAAGCTGTGGAGTTTGATTAGGTCCCATTTGTCTATTTTGGTTTTTGTTGCCATTGCTTTTGGCATTTTGGTCATGAAGTCCTTGCCTACGCCTATGTCCTGAATGGTTTTGCCTAGATTTTCTTCTAGGGTTTTTTATGGTGTTAGGTCTGATGTTTAATGAAGAAACAATCTGGCCCAAAATGGGTAGGGGTAGGTCCATTAGAAAACTGATCATTAGTGGACAATCTTTTCTTTAGTGGTCTGTTTACAGACACTGATTTTTTTTTCTCATTCTAACATTGTCTCAAAATCTTCAGCTATGGTGACTGATGTAGCCATATTAGCAAGCTGTCATCCAATCTCGTGTTTTTTAATGAAGTAACCAGACTCTAGTCAGAGACTACTGATGAATAAAACCATTTCAGTTCATGTAGGAAATACTCCCTGCGGTATTTTAAGACAGGATGTTTAACAAATGACATTTCCAATCTAGCTCTGTAATCAGAAATAGATTCATCTTCTTCTATGTTTATATGACTGAATAATGGACTAGTCAATCGTTTGTGGAAAGACCATGGGATACCTTCGAAATGTTTTCCAGTTTTTTTCCTAGCATCTTTTGGGCTGTCCACAGAAGTAGCTCTTGAAGGACTGGCTATACTTTTCTCAGACTTATGCCATCCTGCTGCAGTCATCCATTAATATGCTTCCCCAGCACCTAATACCATGCACATAAACTGACAAATCAGAAAGCCCAGGGTCATTCTAATTCTAAACTCCTCAGCAAACTGTTTTGGATTTTCCTTGAGATTTGGATAATCTTTTGCTATGGTTCTGAGTTCAGCTTTTGATCCAGAAGTAAAAGTAGTTACAGGAGCCAGACCTGGGTGTCCTGAGGGTCTAACTTAATAAAGCATTAGCCTAACTTCCTTTCTGTCATCATCCTCAGAGTCAAAGGGTAATTGAGCAAAAGGATTAAAATGACTGAACAAAATGGGTTAATAGATTCAGAATAATTAGCTAGAGGAGGATAAGCAAAGTAACAGGTTAGAGTGAAGTCACTCCTTACATACAATTTATTTTTGTCATCAATTCATTGCTTATGCTTTTCGCCTGTCTTACTTGCGTTTTGTAAGGAATCTTTTAGAGAGGCAAGTTTGGAATTATATCTTTTGTTTCTGAGGCATTTGGAATCCCTTCTTTTCTAATGTCCCCTTAAATAAATTTACCTAGATTAAAACTTTTCCACTGTAACTTTAATTCTTCTCTGGTAAAGTGCAACTATTTCTGTAGAAAGGCAGCATTTTGGGTCCATAATTTCTAAACATAAAATTTGCTAGAGTTCTAGAAAGAGGGGTCCCAGACTCCTTAGGTGTTAATAAACCCGGAATACTCTGTTTCTAAAATTCACCAACCTGAGGCTGCCAACTGGGTACAAGTTGGCAGAAAATAACATTATGGATGGGGGGGTACTTTAAGATAGAGTGTATGTTCCAAAACTGTGGATACTGTCAAACACCTAGTTTGACTTCTGGATCAAAAAAAAAAAAAAAAAAAAAAAATGAAATTACTCAAATAAACTCAGAGAGCTCAGGACACAAACTGTGGGGCCTGAAATCCGAGAGGGACTTAGCCAGGACCTCCAGATGCAGCGAGGAATGAGTACCTTTCGCCTGGTTCCTCGATGCTTCCGGAGGCCACAGTGGGGTCTCTTTCGAATCCCACTCTGACACCAAACTGTAAAAGAAAAATCTGAGGCACTATTAAATTTTGGAGTTTATTTGAGTAAAAAGCAATTCAGGAACTGGGAAAGCTAGACGAAAAGCAATTTAGTCTTTCACTGAGAAAATATCAAAGGGAAGTATTTATTTGGAAAATGTGGAAGTAAAATGAATTATTTGCTTGGTTTGCAATTACAAAATTGTCTTTTATCAGGTACCTTGTTAGAAAGTCCCTAGTCACATAACCGTATGTAGGCTGGCTACTCATGACTGGCTGGGGTGAAGCTTTGGTTCTAACATGACCCAAGTGAGGTTTGATTTAGGTTTTTGCAGCTTAAGCAAGATTAACTATTTTTAAGGTTTTTGCTTTTCTTTGCTAGGTATTTTTTCAGATCTGGGCTCTACTTTAATTTTTATTTAATACGATCATGCAGATTTCCTAGTATATTTTTTTTTTGTCATTCACTGTATAAAATTCTGTTGTCAAACTTTTATTTCCCATCCCAAGTGTAAACCTTTGGGATTACTTAAAATTTGCAAAATATTCTAAAGAGTTAAGAAGTCAAGAATGGGTACTAGTATAAAAGATGGTTCATATATAATTATCAGTTCAGATCCAAACTTAAAATGAACTCTTTTCATCTCTTTGGTTCTAAACTACAAAACATACAACAGCTTGTGGGGTTTGAGATGGTCATCCTAATTCACTATTACCCTTCTACTAAAGTTTAAGTGTGACTAAGAAAAACGTTCCAACAAGTTCTAAACCTAAACACAAAATGGAGTTTGGTTCACATGCTGAAAATGCTAACCTGAAAATGAAGAAATATGCACAGAAATGAAAAGTACAAATATTTGGAAATGTAAACAATACATACATAATCATTCACTAACACTGGAGATTCAGTATCAGGACTTCCAGCCAGAGAGCTTTCAGGAGTTTCCTGACCAGATTTAACTTCTTTGACTCTAGGCACTAAGGTTTCAATTTCAGGTAAAGGTAACGGCAAAGGATTAGGTTGTTTAGGTGAATCAACAGTAGCAGGTGAGTCCTTATGCGCAGTACTATTTAAAGGTTGCTCATTTTCCAAGATATTGAGGTAACAGGGTTTCACAGGAGAACTATCTTGGTTATCTGTCATCAAAAGAAAGTCTCAATATTAGTGTAATGCAATAAATGTTAAATTTTACTATTACACTAGGAAAGACAATATGCATGAACAAGAGTCATCAAGACATTTAAGACCAAAAAGAAAAGGCAACTACAAATTTTTGTTATCAATAGTTCCCAAATTTAGTTGTTCAAAATGATCTGGGAGCATTTTAAAAAGCAGTTTCCTCAAATCCACCTGATTTCTAACAAATTAGGACTTCCAGGAATAAAGCCTACAAATGGATATGTTTTTTTAAATCTCCCATATTTGTATCTAAAGATGTTCTTTAACAGAATTTTTATCTGTGTGGTAAATATTTGTCACCTTTTCTTTAATAATTGTTTGCAGAAACAAATTTCTCTTATGTTTTATAGGCAGAAGAAAAATACACATCAGGTCGAAAGTATTTTCAAACTAAGAATTTAACATTTTATGGACTTTTTTTTTTTTGCTTTTAAACAAATGGAAATTATCTTAAAATCAAAGATTTAGATTTCTTACCTTTACTGGTGGCTTCTTGTTCCAATGGGACATTTTTGCTTTCTGCTGTCTTTTCAAAGTCATGCTGCAGAACCTAGAAGAGAAAAATGTTTAATAGAAGGGCCTGAAACATGGTCACTATAAAAGAGATGGTTACAAATGTGTGGTTTTTGTCAAACCCAAGACCTTCATACAAAGAAATATAAAAGTATCTTATAAAACTGTTTCAAGGAGGCGGCTTTGGTTGTGATGTCAAGATGGCTAAGTAAAAGGGTTTCCTTGTTTTCTTTAAAAAAAAAAAAAAAAAAAAAACTGGGATAAAGACTTCATTTTCAAAAATTTTTTTTTCAGACTCCGAAAGATACCTATATATATGCAGACATTAAGTGAATGAAAGTGAAAAAGGAAGATCAACAAAGCTAAATGCTTTCAGCAGGAAACAAAAACTGAGATTCACTTCATAATTGTAAGTAACACATCTAGAAAGGAAGGCATATGATGTTGAGGTAGGCTGGTGATGGTAGTTAAAAACGTTTAAGGAAAATGTGGCCACCTCTCTCCTCCAACCTCAACAGAAAATGGCAGATTATATTTTAGAGAAATTAAAAACGAGTGAGCCCAGACCTGGGGCCACTGGGAGCAGAGGTGTGGGTACAGAGGCACAAATAAGGACACAGTAAAAGTATTAGGGTGGTGTAAACAGTAATTGTGGGTTTTGCTGTTGAATGACCAAAACGGTAATTACTTTTGCACCAACCTAAATAAGAGTACTGAAAACAGAAGAATTTAGTGCATGCCTGTTTAAACGTAGGACCTCAGCCCCATTCCCACATCTAGCTTCAGAATGCCAACAGCAGGACAGCAAAGGATCCTAATTTGCAGAATCTAAACCATTTCAAAGAAAATACCAACAGATACTGACTTTTAGGAGTTTCTATGAAAATGCTGGCTATCTCCCCAGATGCCCTACAGGGAAACCCAAAAGAACTTTAATAAAAACAACCAAGGTTCAGCAGACATTTAAAAATAGGAGATACTGCTTCTGTGAAATAACAGGGCACTATAAAAAAGTAGAAGTTAAAAATTCAACAGCTGAAATAAAAATAATTTCATACAAGTGATAGATAAGGAAAAGAAAAAATTAGATCCATGACTACTAATAATATCTGAAAATATTAATTACAGAAGGAAGAAAAATGTGCAGCAGCAATAAAGAAAATTTTAAAAATTTACAAAACAGCAGGACATGATACAAATTGAAAACTATCACTAAGTATGCATTGCAAATGCATGAAAAAAGACTCGTAAACAGATGGCATATCACTGTAAAATGTCAAACACCTGAGGATAAAATCTGGACAAGGGAGGAAAATAACGTATCTAAAAGTACCCCCTTATCCACAAAATGTATGTTACAAAACTGTGGATACTACCAAACCCCATTTATACTGGCTGTCCTCATAGAAACTTGTCTATGATAAAGTTTAATTAGTAAGGTAAGCACAGTGAGAGATTAACAACAATAACAACAATAAGGGTTGAACACAAACACTGTGATACTGCAAGTCCATCTGCTAACCTGATGGCTATTAATTGATTAATAAGTAGATAGTATAAACAGTGTAGACATGCTGAACAATGGAATCACTCACAACTCAAATAGGAAGAAGCGGGCCACTGTGAGATTTAACCATGCCACTAAAAACTCTGTGTAATTTAAAACTTATGAATTGTTGGGTGGGTGTGGTGGCTCGTGTCTATAATCCCAGAGCTCTGGAAGGCTGAGGTGGGAAGATGGCTTGAGTTCAGGAGTTTGAGGCTATGAGCAGTGAGCTACAATTTTACCTTGAGCAAAACCCTGTCTCTAAAAAGCAATTACAAAAAATATGCTTATTAAAATCTTATTAATAAGGCTTGCATTCGTTTAAGCTGAAAATTTTGACATTTTCTAGAAAGATCTGCTTCCAGTAGTTAATTTCTTTTTTTTTTTTTTGAGACGGAGTTTCACTCTTCTTACCCAGGCTGGAGTGCAATGGCGCGATCTCGGCTCACCAGCAACCTCCGTCTCCTGGGTTCAGGCAATTCTCCTGCCTCGGCCTCCTGAGTAGCTAGGATTACAGGCATGCACCACCATGCCCAGCTAATTTTTTGTCTTTTTAGTAGAGACAGGGTTTCACCATGTTGACCAGGATGGTCTCGATCTCTTGACCTCAGTGATCTACCCGCCTCGGCCTCCCAAAGTGCTGGGATTACAGGCTTGAGCCACCGCGCCCGGCCGTTAAAATTTTTAAGGCTGATGGAAGTGTGTCAGTCAAATATGGGAATACCTGATCATCATGTTCATTTTCTTCGGTAGCTTCGGTGTTAGCCTGCAGGGAAGTCTGGACATCTACAGGGCCTTCTTCAAACTCTTCTATTTCTTCATCCTCATTCTCATCTTCTCCACTTCCATAATTAGTTAAAGCCTGAGTTTCAGCTTTAGACAAATCTAAATTAATTAATACACAATTTTTAGTAAATTTCAGCACATAATCTTAACAGTAGCCACCGTTCAGTGCATTCCTGCATGGCACAGATGCTTTATATAAAGTACTGAAATCTTCAAAGAGTACATACTAGAAAACGTATCGTGCAGAAAGGCCAAATAATTTAGTCAGGGTCACAGTGAAATTCGAAATCAGGGTTCTTTGACACTTAATTCTGTACTTATTACACTCCAATAAATTGTTCCAATAAATGGTCTACAAAAAATCTAATGTATACAGATAGTACAGAGCCTTTAAACTTACTGATAGATACTGGACATCCTTCACTTTCTTCATCTTCCTCTTGATCAGAAATATCAGATTTTATATTTTGGGGACCATCATACACCTCAGATGTTTGAGTCTGTTTAACTGTTTCAGTCTCATCCTTGTCCTAGACACAAATATATTTGAGTAATTAATTCCTTAAAGTACAACTGTAAAAGGTATAATAATGATCACTAACAAAAAATACAAAGAACCATTTTTGATAGTCTAGTTTTGTTTTTAAAAGAAGTCTGTCAGAAGAAAGGCCATTTGACGATTTGCTGTGCTCTCAAATATTAAGGTAAGCACTGTTAAAATAATATTGTTTCAAAAGCATTATTTTTAGGCAAATCTATCTTTTTTTGAGATAGTCTTGCTCTGTCGCCCAGGCTGGTCTTGAACTCCTGATCTTGTGATCCACGCACCCGGCCATATTTTTAGGCAAAAATTAATTAGCACATACTTTGTCTTCATCATCAATCTCTCCAGCAGGTGAGCCATGATCTTCAAGAATCCTTTTTGCCTTTAAAACAAATCGGTTACACAGAATTTAGCAATATGCTTAGATATTCTGCAAGTCTCTAGACCTGAGACTGGCCTATATTACTTTCCAATCATTTATTATGGTATCATGCTGTTTTATTTTGTTCAGGCTCTTAGCAATGGCTGAGATGTTTATTTTCTACATATAAATAAATTTCAGACATCATCAAAAAGATAGCCTGATTTTGTCTACATTCTAAGAAACAAAGTCCATCTCTTTCTGTTTGAGTCTTGGTTTGTTTCCTTCTCCTAAAAGAGGGTCAGGAAATGGGCATACATCTAGGGAAAAAGCTTCTAGGTATGCCTCCAGTCTCAAATGTGATCAAAAGTAATTTGACAAGATAGAACAAACTATAGGGATTTAAAACCAAAGCCCTGACCAATAAGCATTTGTGTTGACTGGGAGTCACCTCTGGGTAATGCATATTCTCAGAGAATCTATAGGGATTGATGACAGCCATGGCAGGCAGCTGGCCCAGGACCAGATCCCAGTTCTCTTTCTTTGGAGACCTGAATACAGGATGATAATGTGAACTGATTATCTGACAATGTTCATTTTTAACATCAATTCCTGTCTGTATTCCTGATCTTTAGCAAGTGCTGTTACTCCTCAGATTCCACATGTGGTTAGCATATATAATGGCTTACAATGTGATTAACTGATATTACTAAAAACTACTACTTTTGCTGAGGTAAAATATGACTTTAGTTCTTAGTAATGATTAAGAACTGTATTTATGAGCCATTTATTCTAAAATCACAATAAATGTTATTTACCTCTTTGGCATAAGACTGTATCACTCCAGCTGCTTCTATTTTTCTTTTGCATCTCTGTTTAACAGTTATACTATTATTATCCAAATCTTGCATAAGCTTAAAGAAAGCCAATTCATTGAATAACACTTCAGATATCTCTACAAGAAGATCTTCTCCACAGTCTTTCAGTTTTCTGCCAGCAAATTTTGCCAGTGAATCCTATTCAAAGATAAACAAAATACGTTAAAGATGATAGTAAACTTCAATTGTAGAACAATATACTTTTAAGTACTGAAAAACTTAGAACTAAAGAATACTGCTATATTACTAAATAGGAATATTGCTATTCCTACTAAAAGAATACATACAAGGGCAGGAAAAGAATATATATGGCCATCCATAGGTAGTTGCTATTTAATATAACTGCTGGGCACAAACGCATTCAAACAGGAATTCCTAATTCCAAAAAACTCCTTGACAGTATAGGAGATACATATATACTACAGTAATAAATTGTAAGTGCTATGAGAAAAAAATACAAAGTCTTCTACCTCTAAATGGTACCATTAAAATACTAATTTTAAAGCTTCCTCCTTTACTTGAGTAAACCATTCCAATTTAAATTTTTCTTCAAAAGTAAACTTCAATTCTATTCAAGTTGATATATAGGATCATGTAAAAGAAAATAGGATTTCGGCTGGGTGCGGTGGCTCACGCCTGTAACCCCAGCACTTTGGGAGGCTTAGGTGGGTGGATCACCTGAGGTCCGGAGTTTGAGACCAGCCTGGCCAACATGATGAAACCCCATCTCTACTAAAAAAATCAGATTATCAAAAAATTAGCCGGGCATGGTGGCAGGTGCCTGTAATCCGAGCTACTCGGGAGGCTGAGGTAGGAGAATCCCTTCAATCCGGGAGGCAGAAGGTTGCGGTGAGCCAAGATTGTGCCATTCCACTTTAGCCTGGACAATGAGCGAAACTCCGTCTCAAAAAAAAAAAAAAGAATTTCAACACCCTTTACCTTCATTATGTTAAGAAGGAAGTTAAACCCTGGCAAGTTGACTGCTGGTGATTTCTGCTTCTTAGACAAAACATGCATTCTCTTCCTCATTGTTGTTCTGTAAATGACTAGGGGAGAGATCAGGGACCAGTCCTCCTCCCTTCTAATCACTGATCTTTGATACAGATTAACTGCCTCCTTTATTGTCCTGTACCTAAGTCAGATTAAGTCAGATCAGGTGGCAGAAGGACTCAAGGACTGTTACATCTTTTACCTTTTCTGAAAGGAAAACATCACCTCAACTGGACTGTTGTAAGAATGCATTAAGCCTTATATAGAAAAATGCTAAAATTCTGCTAAGCTTCTCTAAACTCTGTCCACATAAACCAGCAGTCCCTAAGATTTCTGGTACCAGGGCCTGGTTTCACGGAAGACCATTTTTCCCAACAACCAGAGGTTGGGTGTACGTTTCGAGATGACTCAAGCATATTACATTGATTGTGCCCTTTATTACATTGTAACATATAGCGAAATAATTATACAACTCACCATAATGTAGAATCAGTGGGAACCCTGAGCTTATTTTCCTGCAACTAGATGGCCTCATCTGGGGGTGATGGGACACAGTGAAAGGTCAGGTATTAGATTCTCATGAGGAGCACATAACCTAGGTCCCTTACATGTACAATTTACAGTAGGGTTCAAACTCCTATGAGAATCTAATGCTTCTGCTGATCTGACAAGAGGTTTGGGTGTTCAGTCGGTAATGACAACAATGGGGGAGCTTTGCTCACTCGCCTGCAGCTCACCAGCCTGGGGGTTGGGGACCCCTGATATCAATGATCCCAAACTTCCGATGTCTATTCTTTGGAATCTGTGCTTCACAGGCAGCTGTCCTCAAACTCGTTGCCTGAATAAGCTCTCTTTAAACTAGATTCTGACCCTTTTGATTATCTGGGGTTGAAAATCATCAAATAAGTAAGTATATGCTACACATTTTTCGTAAAACCACTCCTTTTTCTTTCTAAAAATACGGACTATGCTATTTAGAGAACAGGCAAACTACTATGATGTTGAACAACTGCCCCTTTGCCCTACCAAAACACTGCCTTATCTAGCACCATTATGGTAAAACATACAAGATATGCTGGGTGCTTTGTGAAAAAATATTCCTGAACAGGTTTCAGAAGGAAAAATGTAGAAGATGGTAATTTAAGCTCTAGCTCATAAAAAAAAATTTCAAGACTCTGGGCAATATTTAATATAAATTATCTTTTATTCTTCGTGTATGTCCTCTGGTGAAAAAATCAAGAATGGGATGAAAGAAAAGCAGTCATACCTGAGACTGAGAAAAAAATCTTATTTCCAGACCAATGCTTTGGGATCTGCCCATAATTATCATAGTAGGCAAAACTGAGGAAGGGCTACATGGATCTTGATAAAATACATTTAAATTACAATTTCTTTTAGCCTTATTCTAAAATGGAGCTGGAGTCCTACAATGCACAACACCATCAATGTCTCATTGTCCTTATAAATTATGTATTAGTGATTAGTACTAACAGGCCAGGACAATTTATATTTTATACTAACAAAATGGAAAATTACACTGATATAAATTTGCATCAAGCCCAAGGTTTAAAAATAACATTTCATAAGAAAATTTTGTAATAAAGATGAAAAAAATTTATGAGCTAATTTGGAGTAAAATTACACATCAATGAACTATCTCAATGGGAAAATATCCAGTTAAATATAAAGGTAAAGATGTTATATGGAGGAAACAAGGTAATTTTATTAACACTTAACATGGGATTTCTCAACCTTGGCACTACTGACATTTAAGGCCAGATAATTATTTGCTGTGGGTAACTGTCCTGTGTATCGTGAAATGTTTGTCAAGATTCCTGGTCTCTACCCATTCGCTGCCAGTACCTGTCCTCCTCTCAGCCCTCCCTACCTTCTCTACACTACCTGCTGTGATAAACTAAGTATCTGCAGACATTACTAAATGTCTCCTAGAAGGCAAATTCTCCCCTAGTTGAGAACCACTGACTAACTATAATTTTTGGGTACTGATACAGCCTAAAAAGTCTCTACGATCAGCTGGTTTTTGGCTTCTGAAATTTCCCAGACAAGTCAAATTACTTTAGTCAATTATTTTAGAAAAAGTCACAGAATACTTTCTCAACATTTCAAACTAAAAATGTTTTCACTAAGGAGAAGAAAAACCAAACCAGTAAAAGCTTATAAGAGACACGCCCAAATTAAGATACAAACAGAATCTAATGATACAATATTTTTTTAACCAAGTGACAACCCAAATTAGTATTACATCATCCCGAGTGGATGCTAATTGGATGTCCACCAGAATAAATTGTGTAATGCAAGAAAATGTGTTCCCCACAAAAAAACCTTACTGCATAGTACATATTGGTAAATCATACAAGTATAAACTCTTACCTGTAATATACTTCCAAGTTGTTTATGAAAGAACTTTACAAACTCTTTGCTCTCATCATTTTGCTGAGTAAGGGTCAAAACCATGCGCCTTACTGAAGTTAGAAGCTGTGAGGAACATACTTCATCCATGTGCTCCTGAGAAAAATCCTAGTTGGTTAGAATATAAACTTACCTATTGTTTAAAAAAAGAAATCAATCCATATAACATAAAATGTTAATTTTTACTTGTCTTACATAAATTTTCCTCAATTTTCAGCTATCTGTTTAGAAATATCCATTCATAAGAAAAGCCAAACTCTCACTTCATTCATACACATTGAGAGGCAACTTTGACCCATGAAAGCAGATGATGGCCAGTAAAAGAACTCGCCTATCCAGTACTTTTCACCACTTCCTTTCTGTACCTTAAGTAGAACTATCCATGCTACAGTTTTCATTTTGCCATTCTTTCTGTTTTCAGTTAATTTCAAATACTCTTAACAAAGGATACTTACCTTCTGCCCAATTCCCTATTATTTTCTAACTCAGGGTTTCTCAACCTTGACATTAATGATATCCTGTACATTGTAGGGTATTGGGTATCATCCTGGTCTCTTCCCACGAGATGCCAGTAACACCTCCTCCCTATACCACTTTGACAACTACAAATACCTTTAGACATTCTGACATGTATTCAGGGTCAACATCACCGCCTAACTTTCTTAACATACCACTTCAGGCAAGTGTCTCTTCTTAAACTTCCTTAAGAAGTATGTGTGAGCTACAAAATAATCTGAATCATGGTTAACTTTCTGAGGCTGAGTCCATAAATTATGGATATCAAGGAATCTCAAGGTTCTAATCCCTCTTGTTCTACTAAATTCATTTAAGCAAATCCTATAACCTTTTCTCAGTTCAGTTTTTTTCCCCCACTATACAAATCTATAAAATGAGATAACCAAACTAGATGATGTTCAAGGTCCATTTTCAGACCTAAGCTCATTTAAAATAATGTATGTATCAAGACAGGTGATTAAAAAAAAAAAACTGTCCCTGTCTTCAGAGTCAAATACTAGTGCAGGAATCAGATATGTACATAATCACTATAAGCTCTGTGCAATCTAGTAGATAATATTTTTTTAACTGCAGAGATTCTTATTTATCACCAAATACAGTGGCTAGCTCACAGGAGACATTACCTGCTGAATAAATATTTTTTAAACGCACACACTAGGTGCTCCAAGGAGCTGTGGGAGCACATTAGAGGCAACAACAAATACTTCTGAAGAAGTAATATTTCAGCCAAGCAGAAAAGAGTAAGTATTTTATATTTTGGCTAGATGAGACAACTTGTACAAAGAGCTAATATGTCCAAAAGTAACAGTAGATATACGAAATGTTGAATAATTTGAGGTGTGTGTACCCGCCTGGAGAGTGGCAAGAGTGGGAAAGCACACCAGATCCAGTGGTGAAGCCTCTTGACTAAGGAGTTTGGGTAGGATACTGCTTAATAAAAATGCACTTCATGCCTAGTATGAGAGGCCGTCTAGGCAAGAGGTAAGGATATGAATTAAATACGCTACTGAAAAGAAGAAAGAAAAATTGATGGCTCCAAGTAGAAGAATCAATTTTTGACTCACTAGTGATGGCAACAAGAAAGTCAAGAAGTCTAACTTAGATGACTGGGTATTGCTGACTGGGTATAATTACCAAAAACGTTCTACAGTCCTATAAAAAAAGTCAAGATCTAAAGTGAAATGAGACATCATAATTAGTTAAAATCAGATTATTAATTCTACTCAGTCTGCTGGTCTCTGCAACCTTTTGAAATGCTAAATTTATTTCATTTCCTCATGAAATGAATTCACTTAAATCAGGGCTACACAGGTAAAGTGAGGAGGAACAATTTAGATTTTAAGGAAGGAGACTAGGTAAGTCTTGTGTTTTAGGTAACTCTAGGAATGCTAGTAACTCTTCAAAAGTCAAGTGGAAAACCTATTAAATATGCGACTAGCCACTTGAGCCAGCTAAAATATCATTAATATTTCCTAATATCTTAGACATTTAAGAAAAATCACTTTTAAAAAAATAATTTTTAAATTCATGAATTTTTAAACATTTCACAAACTCAAGGCGATTTCTATTTCATTCAAATATTAAATATTTTATTGTATAATGGTTTCTGAGCCGACAGTATGTAACTTATGTAATTTTTTCATCAATTCAGACACACAATAGTAACAACAGTCAATTTCCTAACTGAAGGCTGTACTCCCTAAGCATAAAGATAAATCATTTAGGTTTTTTTTAATCCTTATAGAGTAACTATACATACCAAATAATTAAATTAGGTATATTTGTAGTATTTTTTAAACGACATGTTTACAAGTATTTATTGTACAATTTACTATAGAAGTATAAAAGAAAAAAGGCAACACTTTAGGCCCAGCATGAAAACAAGCAATAACTTAGAAAATTTAAATCAATTCACTTGAGGCAATTGTTTCAAACTGAAATAAGTACCATATATATATATATATATTCTTAAAATCTGTATGTATATTGTTTGGAAGGTAAATACATATATATACACATATATTGGCCAAGCGCGGTGGCTCACACCTGTAATCCCAGCACTTTGGGAGGCCGAGGCGGGTGGATCACGAGGTCAAGAGATCGAGACCATCCTGGTCAACATGGTGAAACCCCGTCTCTACTAAAAACACAAAAAATTAGCTGGGCATGGTGGCGCGTGCCTGTAGTCCCAGCTACTCGGGAGACTGAGGCAGGAGAATTGCCTGAACCCAGGAGGCGGAGGCTGCAGTGAGCCGAGATTGCGCCATTGTACCCCAGTCTGGGTAACAAGAGCGAAACTACATCTCAAAAAAAAAAAACAAAAAAAACATTTATAAGTAACAGGAAATAAGTTCACAGAACAATTGGTAGAGCTGATGTATTTATGCCTTATCCCTCAAATTGGTTTTACCCAGTATCTTAAGTACTTCCTGGCTGTTAAGTACTATGAAATATTATTCTAGAGGGAGATACAAATAATGATGATCCTTTGTCATAAATGCTATAATAAAGGCATGACCTAGTATCTCAGGAACAGCGAAAAGAGGAAGGAATTCTGCCTGTAAATACATGGAGTAACATTTAGGCTGGCTCCTGAAAAACAGGAGAAAGTGACAGGAAAGGGGAGAAGGTCATTCTAGGCAAAGGACACAATGTGGGTGATGTGCCTTTTTCAACAATGTCAAGTAGGATACAAAGTTTAAGAGGCCAGACCAAGCTGCAAAAGGTTTTGTGAGTGATACTGAACTTGGTCTTTATCCTATGGGCCAGTTGTTGTCACACAGAGTCTAAAGAGCTCAACCACAGTTGAGGTTTGAAGAGTTCAGTCATTTATTAATTCATTAATGTTTACTGAGTGCCTACAATATGCAGGTACTATTTTTGGACAGTGATCAAAAGAAATTAATATCTCAGATGTCATGAATCTTGTATTTTAGTATGGAGAGGCAAATATTAAATAGGTTAAAGGTGCTGTGCAAGCACTATGGTGATAAAGGAAAGCAGGTAAAGGATAAGAAAGGGGTTTACTCGCCAAAAGTTAACATTTGACCAAACACTTGAGGGGTTCAACAGAACAAGCCATGCAGGTAGGGAAGCACATTCTAGCCAGAGGTATTAGCAAATGCCAAGGCCTTAAAAGTGCTAACAACTCTAATAGGAGAGTTGAAAGGGTTAGAAGCAGCAGCAAAACAGTAAGACCATTTAAGAACTGCTGGAATGGCCTAGAACGAGGCTAAGTGTTTCTGCTTTTACATGAAATAATCTGGACACAGATGACTCTCCTCTCAGCTGTAAAGTCAGATACTCTGCTTCAGAGAAAGACATTTCTACAGGTGCTTTCTCAAAGATCTCTCTTCTGTCAAAACATTCCAAAAAAAGCAATTACTTCTGCGGAGGGAAGAAATACAAGTGCATGGAAGCAATTCTCTGTGGTACGTGTCTTACAGAGAAATTAAAGTACAAGTAGATTTTAAGAAATTAGCCCACTGACAATGTATTTTGTAGTTTACCACATCTGGATGAAAAGAAAACAATTACTTTTTACTTCAAATTGTTACAATTTCCATTTTAAATTAGAATGTAAAGAATGCCATCTCAGAAAGAAGTCCTGTCTTCTTGTTCCTTATTCTTGCATAGGTCTCCATCTACCCTGATCAAGTTTATTAAATAAAATTAATAATACTGCTTACCATTATGATACTTTCAATGTTGATGGGAATATAAATTGGTTAGTTTCTCTGAAGGACATATTACCATGTCTCAAAAGCTTTAAAAATGTTCATGACCTTTGAACTAAAAACTTTATGTTTAAAAATTGTTTCTAAAGAAACAAGTGAACAGATTACGTTAAATCATTGAAGAAGTGTTTATAATATTTTTGAAACCAAATGTTGTGTAAATAAACGCAAACATTTAACAATAGGGAATGAAAAAATAATAGAAAACTGCATTCTATGCCTACTTGACCTCATAGCAGCCATCAACGTAACTAACTCCTTGCAGTCCTTCTTGGTCAACTCTAGCTCTTTTGTACAACTTCAATGCTGTATCACCTGGTCCCACATCCTTGCTAAAGGCCCCTTTCTCTTCTCATATCAAATGCCCTGGCTTTAGGCAGCAGTTACATGCTATAAACGTTGTATCTATCTCTAGCTGTGCCTGGAATTAGCTGAGTAACCAAATGACTACCTGATCACTCTACAGTTGTCAAGACAGTTCAAATTTAAAGTCCTAAAGAAAACTCTTGGCTGGCGTGGTGACACAAGCCTATAATCCCAGCACTCTGGGAGGCCCAAGGGGGTGGTTCACCTCAAGTCAAAAATTCAAGACCAACATGGTCAACATGGCAAAACCCCATCTCTACTAAAAATACAAATATTAACTGGGCATGATGGCATACACCTGTATTCCCTGCTACTAGAGAGGCTGAGGTGGGAGAATCACTTGAACCTGGGAGGCAGAGGTTGCAGTGAGCCGAGATCCTGTCACTGCATTCCAGCCTGGGTGATAGAGTGAGACTCTGCCTCGAAAAATAAAAAAAACAAAACACCACCACCACCAAAAAACAGAACTCTTCTCCC